CAATTTTCTGTTGAAGATTGGGGCTGTGTCCCCTCCCTGCTGTTTGACCTGAGGCCAAACTATGATGGAGGTAATGAAGATAATGGCAATGAATGCTACACTCAGTGCCCCCAACCATACAGCAGGCCACAGCACACCCCACGCCTCTGCCAGAGACTCCTGGACACTCCCGGGCAAGTCTGGGTCAGTTTCTTGTGGGGTCATTGCCCCTTTCTCCTGGGTCTGGTGCACAAGGTTCTGTTTGTGCCCACCCAGAGTCTGCCTGTGGGAGTTCTAGTGGCTCTGTGGTGGGTTAATGGTGACCTCCTCCAAGACGGCTTATGCCACACGCAGGTCATTGGACCCAGAGCCCCTGCTCCCGCAGCAGTCTGCTGCTGGCCGGACCTCCGTGGGAGACGCTCAAACACAGTTCTGTCTCAGTCTCTCTGTGGGGTCCCTGGGTCCTGGTGCGCGCAAGGTTTGTTTGAGCCTTCTGAGCTTCTCTGGTGGTTATGGGGTTTGACTCTAAATGCGATTTCACCCCTCCTACTGTCTTGCTGGGGCTCCTCCTTTGTCTTTGGACGTGGGATATCTCCTCAAAGTCGCTCCAGCACCACACAGCCGCCGTTCCAGTGTCTTCCTTGGTAGCTCAGCTAGTAAAGAGTCTTATTCCTACAAGCTTCATTTTGTTACTTGTTAGAACAGGGCAAGAGCAGACCTTTGTTCCTGACATTCTGTGCTTGGCCTGTACATTTATGTCTGTTCTGGAAACATGAAGGCAAAATTATATAATGATAGATTATGCCACGTTTAAAAAAGAGTAATGTCAGTGTAGTTAAAAATATGAGATCAATTCAGTAATAAACCCCAGATGTCAGAGTGGGGTGTTACGAGATACATTCTACTCCAAATTAAGTTCACATAAATTTCTGTATCTTAAAGAAATGTATCACTTATTTATTTGCAAAGGAAGTATTGATAGTTCTGTATTTCCTGACCCAGGGATTGAACCCAGGTCTCCTGCATTGTAGGCAGACGCTTTACCATTTGAGCCACCAGGGAAGTCCTCTATATAAGACAAAATAATGTAATTTCCTAAAATTAGAATGATTTTAAGATAATCACATGGGTACAGGTATGTGTGTGCTGTGCTTAGTCGCTCAGTCACGTCTGACTCTTTGTGACCATAGCCCACCAGGCTCCTTTGTCCATGAAAATTCTTTGGGCAAGAATATTGGAATGGGTTGCCATGCCCTCCTGCGGATCTTCCCAAACCAGGGATTGAACCCAGGTCTCTTGCATTGCAGGCAGATTCTTTACCATTGAGCCACCAGGGAAGTCCATGAATACTGGAGTATGTAGCCTATCCCTTCTCCAGGGGATCTTCCAGACCCAGGAATCAAACCAGGGTTTCCTGAATTGCCGGCAGATTCTTTACCAGCTAAGCTACCAGGAAGCCTACATGTATGTATACATACATACATACAATCCAAATATTGATTAGGATTAAAATCACGTATAGTGAATGTTTTGTATGCAGAGCTCAGAAATTGTAAACAGTAAATTCTTAAGCTCCTCTATTCATAGACTATTAGCATTGATTATTCTCACTTGAAGTGTTTCTCAAAGAGTATTCTGTCTTAAATTTCAATAAAACAAAAAGAGAAATCCCTTTTGTTGTAGAGTATTACCATCATAGCAATCTGAAATACAGTTTGTATTCAATAAAAGAGTACTTCAGAAAGAAGTAATAATGTATAGGAAAGTTTAAAAATTAAATATCATTCCTAGGAAATAATTTCATTTCCTAGCTGTGCTAAAATAAATATCAACTTTACTTCTTGGCTTCAATTATAATGTTGGAATTATAGTGAATGTAGAAAGTGATGTTCCTTTCCAGTTTACCTGGATGTCATAGATATTATGGAGTAGGAAATGGCAACCTACTCCAGGATTCTTTCCTGGAAAATTCCACGGACTGAAGAGCCTGGCGGGCTACAGTCCATGGGGTCACGAAGAGTTGGACACGACTGAGCACACACAGGCAAGTGCTTAGATATTGAACCTCAGATAAAATATGAAGAACAGCTTGCAGAGTCTGACAGATGAGCTGTCTCTGCCAGATGCAACAATAATAACCCAATATCAGCCACGGCCGTAGTCCTTGTAGCCATGACTTCTGGAACATTTACCTATAGGTAGGCCATGAGTGGCTTCCATTTCAGACTTTTTTCTCAATTAGTACTCCAAACTTTAGAGCACATTTTATTAAACTGGTTTTGTAGACAAAAGAACTGTGACTTGCAACAGACAATATCAGCTTAGTGCCACATCCTAGGCAGTAGTGGAGCTGAGAAAATTCTACTTCTACACATACCAGACTGGGGTCCAATATAAAGTTGGGGGGTGGATGTTCTTGAGTTCTTCTTTGGAGTAGAGAGGCAGTGAAAAGGGTTTAACTGATCTTGGCATAGCAGTTGCTAACATTGGAAGGAAGAGATGATTTAGGTCAAAGATTTTACTTTCATTGAACAAGATAAATAATCAAGGGACCTTATGATGTCATTTCATTCATTAGCCAAGAGGCAGCACCACAACCTCTGGAATATGCATTCTCGTTACATTTGAGTCTTCTCTTTTCTTATTTCCATTTGTTTATACCAAGGAAATCTCCCTGGTGGTGACAGTTCACAAGCTTGATTACCAATTTGGCTTGATTTGATCTGGTTGTTAAACCTGGCCCAACATTCTGCAAAGCTAAATAACTAGGCAGACACCATTCCTGGTTAATTTAAGGAGTCTTGCTCTCTGGGGGCATAAATGCATCTGGCTGTTTGTGTTAACTGCATGGCAGGTTAGGTGGAAACAAAAAACCTCTTTTTGTTCCATGAATTTATTATTATTAAATGGAGGTCTGTTATGTGACATCTTTGATTTCTGATTAATAAAATTTTGTGAGATCAAAGAGTGCAGAATTTGAAGGTAGCCCACCCCAAAATACATTTTATGTTTTGGCTATTGGCTCCAAAAAATTGGTGGAATTTAGATAGCTTTAACATTTGACAGTAGATTTCAAAAGAGACACATATACCTAAGAGACCTTACACTTTGTTTTCAGAGCATAAACTGGTCAGATCCAGTTGCATTACCTAACCAAACTTTGGTCCACTTGCCCACATGCAGTAAAGCCAATCTACTGACATTGAGTTGTGGCGAAGGAAAGTAAAGCTTAAGGAGTGATTAATATTATATATATGGAATCTAGAAAGATGGTACTGATGAAATTATTTGCAGGGCAGCAGTGGAGACAGACATAGAGAACAGACTTACGGACAGAGTGGGGGTGGGAGGAAGGAGAGGGTGGGATGTTTGGAGAGAGTAACATGCAAACATATATTAACATATATACAATAGACAGCCAGTGAGAATTTGCTGCGTGACTCAGAGGACTCAAACCATGTTGATGTTTGGCAGAAACCAACATAGTACTGTAAACCAATTATACTTCAGTTAAAAATAAATATAAATGCATGTTTAAAAAGACCCAAACTCCCCAGTGGCTTTCAGGGGAAGATTTTTAAAGACAGCTAAGGAAAGGGCGTTGTGACGTATGTGATCAGCTCATGGACATTCTTCTGATTGGTTGGTGATGAGATAATCAAGAGTCAACATCATCAACCTTCTGATTCCAACCAGTCTGGGATCTATGTGCTTATGGGCAGCGTACAGTTAACTTCTTCCACCTGGTGGAGGTTTTTATATTTTCAAAACAGCTCGAAGGACATGGCTCAAAATAATATCTATAACCCTTGAGGAGGTACTGAAGGTCTTTAACTTTAATGGCTAAACTTGTTATTTTGCTTTATTTGGTGTTTTTTCTTTTCTTTTTTTTGCATTTTTTCATTTCTGTGATTAAATTTACTCTTTGGGACTCGGGGAGGGCCTAGGAAGCTAAAGTTTCTCTATAGACAGGAGACAAGTGGAGGGCATGGTGCAGGGGAGTCTCTTCCAGGAAGGTCCCGTATGATCCTGCTTGGTTTCACATGTTTTCTCTTTGAAGGCAGAGACAAAAGGAATTCTTTACAGATGACTTGTGATGGTCTTTCAAATTGTCATGAAACTTCAGGACAGAGATTGATATACAGTTGTTAATGTACCAAGATTGGCAAGATGGCAGAGGTGAGAGGGAAGTAGATTCTATAATAGGAGGCAGCTAGATTCATTTCATCTGAAACCCACCCATCATTTTTTAAAGTACAGTAAACTCTGGGGCTTCCCCAGGGGCTTAGTGGTAAAGAATACAATTGCAATCCGGGAGCCACAGGAAACGCAGGTTTGATCTCTGGGTTAGGAAGATCCTTTGGAGAAGGAAATGGCAGCCCACTCCAGTGTTCTTGTCTGTAGAGTCCCATGGACAGAGGAGCCTGCAGGGGCTACAGTCCATGGGGCCGCAAAGAGTCAGACATGACTGAAGCGACTTAGCTTTAGCTCACGCACAGTAAACTCTGGGCGTCCCAGGTGGGAAGCCTGGGAAGTGGTAAAGAATTCACCTGCCGAGCAGGAGAAGTGGATTTAATCCCTGGGTCAGGAAGATCACCTGAAGCAAGCAACCCACTTCAGTATTCTTGCCTGGGAAATCCCATGGACAGAGGAGCCTGGCAAGCTACAATCCATGGGGTCGCAAAGAGCCAGGTACAACTAAGTGACTAAACAGCAGAACAGTAAAGAGCATTAAAGAGAGGTTTGCCAGGATGACTGGAGAAGTTGCATTGGAATGCACTTCCTGTGTGTTGGAGATTGTACTGTGTTTATGCAAGCTTTATCGCCTACATGTAAGTCTTTTTAAAATGAACAAGTCATTAGTATCGTTAGTAACATGTCTATAATCGATGTATGTGTATACAACAATATCATCCATTTTTTGGTTTCCCTACCTTCTGATATTTACATTAAAAGGAACACTATACTCCTTATAACAAGTTTCTTTGCTCTCATGCTGACCCCTTCTAGAGTGCAGCCACATGCCCGTGGTGAGAAATCACACTTCTTATCTGTGGCAGGTGGCGTTGCTGTGTTCCCCCAAGCACCTCCTAAATGCAGATAACTTGGGGCAGCCTGACAAAGCACAGTGAACACAGATCAAAATTTGAATCCCCACGATCTCATCCTGGTCACAGAGGAGAATAGCCATCCTGCCGGCACAGACTCTTCATTTTCTTAGGCTTGAGCTTTGCATTGGTGGCTCAGCAGTGAAGAATCTGCCTGCAATGCAGGAGACGCAGGTTCAGTCCCTGGGTCGGGAAGATCCCCTGGAGGAGGGCATGGCAACCCACTCCAGTATTCTTGCCTGGGAAATCCCCTGGCAGGCTACAGTTCCTGGGGTTGCAAAGAGTCGGACATGTCTAAGTAATTAACATTTTTGCATTTATAAGTTAAAGATTTTGAACTAGAACACTGGCCAGATCCCCCCTATCTCTCAGATTTTAGGATCTAGGATTCCTTTTGTACATCCTTCAAGCTGGCATTGTGCTTGTTTGTCCTGGAAGTGAGGTTGTGTGTCTTGACTACTTGGAGATTAGGAAATGATTTAGGTGGGGGCTGAGCAACTTTCTAAAAGCAAGTCTTTGAAAGCAGCAGGTTTATAGCCAGTTTAATGGTGCCATTGAAGCTTAAACTACCCTACAAATAAGGAAAGTTTAGATGATGATGACTAATCCAGGCATTGAAGAGAGATTGTCACATGCCTCAAATGTTAGCAGAGTTGCTCTAAAGTAGCCATGAATTTGCATACTAACAAAGTGAAGCATCGTTTGCTCATTATTAGTCTGTAAGGTGAGAGCAGGAAGATGCTATTATGCAGAGACACATTGATTCCTTTCTCCGTTTTCTCTCAGGGTTTTCCAGGAAACACAAATGCAGACAGCGTGGTACACTACAGACTCCAGCTGACCTTTGAAGTCAGATTCCTGCGCTTCCTCCCCTTAACCTGGAACCCCAAAGGCAGGATTGGGATTCGGATTGAAGTGTATGGATGTGCCTACAGTAAGTGGTGTTTATTCCTCAAATGAAGTTTTTGATGGAGTGTTGTGTTCTAAACACTAAATTGAAAATGGAACTTGACTTTTTCAGCTTTTTAAATATCTGTGCAGGCAGAACTGGTTTTATGGAAAGTCTTAATAATATTACAGTTATTTTAAGGTCGAATTCAGAGAAGGACCAGAAATGAGCCTTTAAATCTTAGATTCTCAGAGGTTAGCTGAGTACCTGTTATATAGTGGGCACTTCATAAAATGAACAAAGCTCAAATCAAGAGCAGTTATATTTATTGTGATTGATGGTTCTGTCTTCTGCCGCTGGAATGCTCCTCCTGTGGGAACACAGGTGAGAACAGCTGTCCCCATGCTCCCTAGTCCCCATGGTGACTCACTTTTCTCTCTACTTGCGTCGTCGTGGAAACTTCTTTTGAACATCATTTATGTTTTATGTCTCCCGGCTTTTCCCCACCGACAATGAAAGAAAAGATGCTGGCAGTCAATCTGAGCATAAAGACAAGCATAAAAGCATTCCATGAAATACATGGGGGATCAAATCTACAGCTGCCATTTTGAAGGTCTAGAATATACTGGTATTTTTTAAGTGAACACAAAGATGAAAAAAGATTAATTTAAAATATAATCTTCTAGAAAACTGGAAGAGTGACCTGAAGAATCAGTTGGCTGGGAACATCTTGGGGTTTTTGTCATACTTCATTCTGCCCCTGATCAAAGGATTACCTTTGTAGAGAAGTGTGACCATAAGATATACCACACACAGGATATTTAATATGTCAGATCCGACCTCCTGCAGCATTTTCTCTTTCAACTCCCACTCTAACCAAATGATTTCAGTATAGTAGTAACCTCACTGTTTCAGAAAAGAAAGAAACCAAACTTTTGAGAAAGTAGATGTTTGCGAGAGCTATTACATATTGGATCTAAGATTTAAAACTCTCTTTTCCCCTCATTTTGTATTCACGACTACCATAGTATTCAGACATTGATTTCTTTATCCCCTCACCTGTCATATATGAATTTATTTATCTGCAGAGAACTGGATTGTATGTGGAGGATGCTTCTGAGATTATTTATTTCTTTGTCAGGAGTTTATGAGAAGTCATAAAATTGTACAAAGCAAATATAACATATTGTAACATGATCATGGGGCATGGGGAATAGAGGGGTTGCGTTGGGAAAGGAAACCTTTTGACATTCAGTTTTCAAAGTAAAGGTCGTGGGCAGTGAGACGGGGGTAGGAATGGTGCTTATAAGATGAAACGGCATATATAAACTGGGGGAGTAGAAATTTAGTGTTCTTGTGGTGCAGGGATGGATGTGGGCATGAGTTGTGGAACAGTGGAGATATCAGTTCCACCTTGATAACCCCCCACAGACAATGGGTGGCTCTGGAGCGGAGGCTCACCCACGCCACCCGTCCCACACTCAAGGGTCACCTTTAGCCTCTGTTCCACACCCCTTCCTCATGGCGTGTTCTACTCTGGCTCGGCTTCCTAACCCCGCCTCACACTCTAGTGTTTATGAGTCCATGGGCCGTTCAGCATAGGTGGTGCCGGGTTGCCTCCCTCTTTCTGCTGGTCATTTCCTTCCATCCTTTTGGTTCTGGGGTCTGTCAGAGTGCTCACTGCTGTGATGGCCATGATGCCTGATATTTAGAGTTTCTCTTTGATCCCATGAAATTAACGTCTCCTTCTCCCATTTACTCTGGAAGCAACTTCAGGTTTACTGACTTCAAAGCAGAACATGTTCTTTGATGGGGATTTGCCATTAGCTTGATGTTCTTGGTGAGGAGCTACTACTCCAGTTTCTTGGGTTAGAGGTCAGTACCAGGAAGATCAAAGCTGCGTGTCTGGTGCCTGGAAGGGCCAGTTGACTGTACAGCTGTCGTGGACCCTGCCTGCATCCTAAATTCAGCAAACATGAACTGTTGGGCACAAGGGACTCCTAGCATAAAAATGCAAACAGGAAATAACCATCACTTGTAAAACAACACAAAATATATTTCTCAATACTAGTGGCTCTGCTTTGTCTTCATTCTTATTATTAATAATGACTCACTTTGCATTTTTATTTTTGGCAGTAATTTAATGTGATTTGGTTTATAGCTCAAAGCGATAATTATTATCTTTTTTCATGTGTGCTTCCTCTGCCCTGTTGTTAGTGAGAGAATGTCCAGATTGCTTATCTCTTTTCAGTTTCATCTTTTTACATTCCATTTACAGTGATATTTACTATTCCTATAAACACTGCATATTTTCATGGCTTCTTGGCTTGGCATATATATTTTCACTAACTGAAAAGCCCTTCCCCCATTTCTAGAGTAAAAGTGGAAAGTATCAAGGTCTTCTTAGAGTCCCTACCTACCCACCAAGGCCAGGGTCTGGCATGGGATTCTTGACTTTCCCCTGCTCCTCCCCTCTCTAGCATTCCCATCCATTCAATGTTAACATTTCCTATGTACTTGTTCTAAGCTCTATATTCTACCCAAAATTTGTCTCTGAGCTTTCATCCCATTTCATGTTTTTAACATTTACGTACAGTCTGACCAATTCCAAGTTGACATCCTTGATACAGGTCTCTGAAGCCCTACACATCTGGCTGCTGCTGCTGCTGCTAAGTTGCTTCAGTCGTGTCCGACTCTGTGCAACCCCATAGACGGCAGCCCACCAGGCTCCTCCCTCCATGGGATTCTCCAGGCAAGAACACTGGAGTGGGTTGCCAATTCCTTCTCCAATGCATGAAAGTGAAAAGTGAAAGTGAAGTCGCTCAGTCATGTCTGACTCCCAGCGACGCCATAGACTGCAGCCTCCCAGGCTCCCCCATCCCTGGGATTCTCCAGGCAAGAGTACTGGATTGGGGTGCCATTGCCTTCTCCAAGACGTCTGGAGAATTCTCCGCAGTTTCGCCATCATTTCTTTAGTGAAGCTGTTGGTCGTCTTTTGAGTCTCTCCTGCCGTTGGCTCTGACTCCACACGTTCATATTCAGTGTCGACTCAAGTCTTCCCTTGTCGTACTGCATCATATCAGCCCCACAATTGTAATGTCACTTTATGTCCATCATTGTGTTTATTGCTGGAGTGAGAGAGGGAAGAAAGGCAGAGAGGAAAGGAGGGGAGAAGAAATGAGGGACATAGTTCATGAATTCAGAAACGTAGCCTAGATAGGCTCAGAATGGGGACCCCCATTGGGGTCTACAGTCATCCATGTGGCACTTCTGTCCTGTGTCAAATCGTTCATTGAAAATCAAATGAGTTAAGAGGGAAGAGAAGAAGGGAATAGAACATGTACTTGCCTGTTTTAAAACCTTGTGTTTATTTTACTTAAAAAAAAATATATTGATTGTTGCAGTGAAAAATGTTCTATGTAACAACTGCACCATGTGTCAATGTTTATAAAACTATTCTTAATGTTTTATAAAAATAAAGAGTGTTTATTTTGTAATATTTAGAGAGAATGTTGAGACAAAAGTCTGCATATGGAACTTCCTTCAGTTAAGCCCTGGTTCTACTGGAAGTAGATTTCAGTTTAGAAAATGCTTTAATAGGAATAAAGGAACATAGGATGAAAGGATAAGTAGTCACCATGGCAAATAAAAACTCTGGAAGTTAATAATGATCTTTAGTCATATGAGAGAATGCTGATCTGTATTATCCATTATAATTATAGAGAGAGTAGAAAATATTCAAACTAGATTAGAAAAAGTATTAGTTCAATACATGTTTACAAAACTTTTACCCCATGCAAGCCACCCTGCTGAATAAAGTGAATAAGACACAATCTCTGTTCCCCAGATACTAAGGAGTGAGTAGAGGTGAAGGGAAATGCCTGTTCTTTGTAGATCAACTAAATTTGGGCATGGATTTCTCATTCTCAATTTGTGTCCCAGTATAAAGATTCCCTGGAGAAGGGAAAGGCTACCCACTCCAGTATTCTGGCCTAGAGAATTCCATGGACTGTATAGCCCATGGGGTCTCAAAGAGTCAGGCATGACTGAGCGACTTTCACTTCACATAAATAGTGGATGGGGCTTCCTTCTTGGCTTAGTGGTAAAGAATCTGCCTGCAATGCCAGAGATGCAGGTTTGATCTTTGAATTAGGAAGGGCCCCTGGAGAGGGAAATGGCAACCTCCTCTAGTATTCTTGCCTGGAGAATCCCATGGACAGAGGAACCAGGAGAACTACAGTCCATTGGGTGGCAAAGAGTCAGACACGACTGAAGTGACTTACCACTGGCAGTCATGATGAAGCCCATGGCCATTGTGGACTAGACGTGTTTCAGACATGGCTGTACACGCTGTATAGATTTAAGCTTTTTAGTAACAATATAATTAGTGTTATGTGGAAGAGACTTCTTTATCCTTTTACAGGTGAGGAAGCTGAGGCACAGAGAGGCTGAGTAAGTTTTCCACTATGGAACCAATATTCAAATCCTTACAAGACAACTTCACAGATTTTCTGAGCAACTGTTCTATGTAATGAAGGGCTGTTTGTGGGACCAGATCCAGAGACTCTAAATATATCAGCACTAACTTATTCTCCCTACTGATAAAATGGCAAGCATGTGTGGGGGTTTCTTTAATAATATTTTTACTGATGCATTTATCAAAATATAGCCTCAGTTAATAAAGCAAATGTTTATAACATGTGACATTGGAAAAACACTTCCTATTTTTCAGCTAAATATCACATTTCCCCTACTCTTTTTGGAATGTAGGTTCTGTACTCTTACAATAGAGGAAACTATTGCTTTCTGTTTCAACACATAATGAGTGACTTCTGTGTCAAGTACCCCAATTGTTTAAATAATTGAATTACATACAAAAGCATTTTATAAATATGAGGATTTCTTATAAAATTTAAGTATGATGCTAAGTGGTAATTTAATGCATTATTTTGGTGTTTTCATTCAAACAAATTTGGTGGATTATTTGTATTAGTTGTGGGCATATAGCATTTGATTTGTTCTTATAGGAGTATAGTAGCAACAAT